CTTTTCTCCGTTGCCACGCGTGAACGGGAGCGTGTTTTGTACCGAACATGCGCCCCATTAGCGTGACTCGTTTGACACAGAGATACAGAGGACGGAGGGGAGTTGTGACATCGGGAGAGAAGCGATATACGATCGGATCGTATACGTGCGATCGTATTACGCGACACAGGATCCACAAGACAAAGAGTGAGAGAGAGAGAGAGAAAGAGAGATAGAGAGGCAGGTGCGGTGGTGAAAGAAAAAGAAGAAAAAAAAAGAGAAAGAGACAACAGGAGCGATATAATTAGCTTGCCGCAGTGACAATAATCATGGCGATGCAAATTGCTCGACGCCGATATATATATACTGGCTGCCGGTTTTCTGGTTTTTTTTTTATTTTTTATTTGTGGAGGATAGTTTAGAATCAACCACAAAAGAGACGGGTGTCGCATGTAATAATATATATATGTATATATATATAATAAGCACACGGGCGAAAAATATTAATCGAAACTCGCAGTCCGCAAGCACTTACTTGTTAAACAAAATGCAGACATTGTGAGACGTGTGTAGAGAGACAGATAAGTAATAGTAGTAGTAGTAGTAGTAGTAGTAGTAGTAGTAGTAATAGTAAGTAGTAGTAGTAGTAGAAGAGAGAGATAGAGATAGAGATAGAGAGAGATAGAGAACACAAAAGGCAAACTGAAAAAGGTCTGCTTGTAGGAAATCATAGTACATGGTACATATCGATCAAAAAAGTGTCGCAAAAAGAAAAATCAAGAATATATCAGAGGAACCAAAGAAAGACGATGAAAAATATATACGTATAGATAAATATAGAGAGAAACGGTTAATCAGATTATTATTTAACACGGTCAAACAATGATCAAACTTGCGGATGATAGTGGACTTGCGGACTAACCATGTAGTAATCCTGAGAAGGGGATCTGCCTGTCACAGATACATTCTGCACCAGAGTTCTATTGCTCGTCTGAAAGTAGGTGACACATCCAGTTTTACATCATTAGCTTCACGTGACATTCCATTGGGTAATTGTATTTTTTTTTCTTTTCTTGTCCTATCTCTTTTCTGTCTTTCTTAATCGTCTGTTCGATTTTCCGTTCTGTTTTTTTTTATATATATATATTTTCTGTTCCCTTTCGGTTTTGTTAAGCCGTTCTACGTTAACGTGTGCTTCTCGTGAATATTGAACATTTAACGACCGTTGACTCGTGCGAGACAGACGAAGTTACAGAGAAAAAAGGGGGAAGAGAATGTAAAGAGAATAGAAAGTACGTATAGTGTAGCTATATATATATATAGTAGAATATATATAGTAGAATATAATATATATAAAAGTAGAGAAAATTGGTAGAGAGACAGACAGAGAGAGAGAGAAAGGAAATATATTATATCGTATCGCCGCGAGTTTCTAGAATGGATTAGAATTTTCTTACGTACGTTGTGTGCAACTCGTGCATCCGTTCTACGTATTTTTTTTTTCGTTTTTTTTTAATCGCATCGTGACCGGCTGTAACGGAGCTGCAACGGACCAGCGACAGTCGTTTTCTTTGTCGCGCCACAGCCCGAGTCGCCGAAGTGATTGACAATTATAGATATACAGACAGATATTTGATACATTACTGGCAAAAAAATTCGCTGCGCAATCATCGTAATAAAGAGTGAGTTATCGGGTGTTTTTTTTTTTTCGGGGATTCTTCGACGAGAAACGGACCGCAAAATCGTTACCTCTGGCACGCCTAAGCCTATAGACCGCCGACTGACGTCGCCGTTTCGTTGATCGTAGGCCGTCGCAAATCAATCGCAGGATGCATAAGTGCGTGTAAAAACGGTTTTTTTTTTAATACAAAAAAACGGGGACTTGCGATTTTAATATTAAATGAAACGGACGTGAAACGCGACGCTGTACGAAACGCGCGGTTCGTTCGGTGCCGTCCGCTTTAACTTCAACGACAGAGAGTAGAGCCTTCTGCTTCAACGTAAAATCGATAGGGATAGCAGGGCGGCTAAGGCGGCTAAGGACAATAGCGAAGTGGAATGAATCTTTTACGCATCGTTCTTGAACCGCGCAACAACGAAAGTTTCGTTTCGCCGGCTAATTACGCCGAGTACACCGCGCGCAGGCGACGGATTTAGATACGTTACGTACGAAGAAGGGGAGGTGGCTACCTACTTTACGCGAGTTTCCCGCGCGCGTATTACGTAAGAGCCGCCCGTTTTAACGGTGCGAGGAAAATCGTATGGCGGGGGAGTCGGAGTGTGTAAAGACGTCTTGACGAGAGAAAGTTCGGCGAAGAAAGTTACCACGAGGTGCTTACACGTGGGTCGATTTAATATCCTGCTTAACGTCACACGCTCATCCAGAACGGTACTTCACGATGAGAGTTATATATATATATAGTATATAATTTACGAGACAACAGGCTGGAGGGAGGAAGAGACGAGAACCTCCCCCTCCGGAGGGCGGGAGTATCCCGAGTTCGTCGATCGGCGAAACATAAGACATCGATCACTCGGAGAAGAGAGTGGTGCACGCACACACGCACACACGCACGCGCGCGCG